GATGGGGCTTTGAGCAACCTGGGCTAGTGGGAGGTGTCCCTGCCCATGACAGGGGGGTTGGAACTCCCTTCCGACCTAAACCATTCTGTAGGTGTGAGGAAAAGGTGTGAAACAGTCACAGAGGTGAGAGAAGGAAGGGGGGTGTGGAGAGGGGGGGAGTGTGAGGCAGAGAAGGCAGCTGTGGAGCAGAGCAGGGCCTGTGCAAGTCGAGGGGGAGACCCTGGGATAAGGACTGCTGGACACCCCCTGCTCGCCTTGTGAGATCCAGCCCTGACAAGAACTCACCTGCAAGTTGGGTCCAGCTCTGAGGCAGAAAGCATGGGTAGATGAGAGCAAAGGACACCCTTAGGTAGCCGCTCTGTTTTTTTCTCAGTACCTCGTGTTCCTCTAGCAGTTTTTCTGCTTGAGTAACTTCCTTAATGGCTCTTTTTCCACCTACATCATTTTCTTTCACCAGCTAAAAATGACTCCTGCAGCAGCTTCCACCCAATTTGGACAAAATGAGGAGAGGCAGTTTGGGAGTGAGGATGCATGAGCACACAGCAGCAAACGCAAGGCATGAAGAAAAGAGATGGAGGCTGATGTTTGGAAATCAGGTGCGCAGCAGAGGTCTAAGCCTTGATGCGGTCGGCTGTGTGCAAGAGGCTTGTGTCCTCCCAGCGAGCCCTGCTGCCACTCCCGCAGCTCCATGTGGTTGTCAGTGCTGAGAGATCCCGCTGTAGGAAGGAGCGCAGAGTCTCCCAGGGTGTTATTTATTGTAGTAAATGACTCCCTTGTAGCAGTGTTTGGAAAGTAAATTAGTTGTGGGTTGTGTTTTTTTTTTCCCCCAGCCCTGTGGGTAGCAGGCATTTAGAAATTTCAACTGATGGTTACTGTTTGAATCAAACTCCCTGTCTATTTTACCCAGGTAAATGAAGCTGATCTTTCCAACTATTTCTATAACTTGCTTTAATGTTGTTTAATTGTATTTAAAAGGAAATACTCTATTAATGGGAGAATTTTGGAAGATTAAGGCACAAAGACTTAAAATCTTTAAGATTTGTTGCTCCTCCATGATGTGATTGCAACAGGATCTATATTTAGTTTGTCACCCTCCTAGTTTGTAAGTGAGACCCTGACACCTGGTGTGGTTTCTCTGCAGAAGCCTGTCTGAACCTGCAAGCAGCTTGAAAAAAAAAAAAAAGAGCTGAGAGTGGTCTGATAATTCCTGTCGGTGTTAATCCCAAAATTGCTGCTGGAGCACTCCTGTTGGTTACAGCATCTTGGGAGCTGTAAATCCATCAGGAAGAAGATTCACATGAGGACCTGAGCAAAGATGCAGCCTGACTGCTGTGTAAATGCCCTTTATCCCTGGGACTGAGGGGAGGATGACACTTGCAGGTGGGCATGGGTGGCTGGTCTTGGTGAGTCTGCAGCATTGCATCACCTTATTCTGACCAGAAATATGAGATGTTGACAGATTAAAAATTGTCAGGTTTTGTGGTTATTACTATACCAGCTGTAGCACAGCGATACCTAGTGGCAGTGTGAAGGTAAATTCAATGCAAATAAGCTGGGTTTCAGTTAGCTTTGGTCTGAGTGATCCCCTTTAGGTAAAACAATAAAAAATGGGGATAGAGAGTAGAGATGCTACAAGTTTCAGGCCAGGGGGCTACCCAGCTCTGAAACTGTCCTTTAAGTAAAAGACCGGGGAGCCCCATCTCAAATCCTGTGGTTGTCACTGCGATTTTGTGCTGCTGTGCAAATTCCCACCTAGGAGCAATTTTTCGGAAACCCAGAACAGGACTTCAGTCTCTTACGTTCACAAATACAGTCTTATCTGAGCTCGTTACAATGGGCAGCCTGCTACACGAAGAGCCTATTTCTTCTTTCAAGTTGCAAGAAAATAGAAATACTTCTGAAGAGTATTCTGGAGAGTTATTCAGTTTCAAGGACCACTTGCATTTTTTCTTCAAGACGAAAGATTTGTGTGATATCAGTATTGTTCTCCTTAGCAATATAATGTTTGTCAATGCTAAATGCAAGATGGTCCTGCCACCCATTGCTAAAAGATGCATTTAAAGAGCCAGCAAGACAAGGTGTTCTTTCCCCTTTCACAAGGGAAGACTTCAGACTGCAGGAAGCAAGGCCCTCGTGGAAAAACAGGCCAGGCCAGCAGAGAGCAGTATTTTATCGGGATCACCATTTCCCCAGGGATGGGGCAAAATAGCACAGTATTTATTTCTCATAGTTGAAATATCTTGCATATATGTTCATAAACAGTGCTGCACTTAAGATGAGAGATGCCAAAAATGCAAATGTAGTGCTGTGGGTTGTTTCTTTCCTCCTGTGAAAAGCATCATTTAAGTGCATAGGGAACAGTTCTCAGAGCCTGTTCTT